GCCACTCCGTTCAGCCAGCATCTGTGATGGCCAGGGCGCGTTGGAAAAAACACATCGCTCTACATAATAGCTCAGTGGGACTTTGCTGGTAACATTTTTAAGAAGTTTAGTTTTGAATAGTTTTAGTTTAGTGTAGTAACCGTCAGCACTTGGGAGACGAAGTCAGCCGGGCCTGCTGTTGGCAACTCAACCCCCATCGTGTGTCACAGTGCAGCCCTTCATGAGGTGCTCCTGCTACTCGCTCCTAACAGCACTTGCCCCTACAGTCTGTTAGAGGCTACACGGGGGACCTTTATCTGTCTACCTTCATAGGCGCTGCTGCTCGCTACTAACAGCACTTGCCCCTACAGTCTGTTAGAGGCTACACGGGGGATATTTGTCTGTGTCTACCTTCATAGGTGCTGCTGCTGCTCGCTACTAACAGCACTTGCCCCTACAGTCATTGACCTTTACCAATGATTAATATCGCATGGCTGCTTAGGTACGGTGGGAAAGAAATGCGGTTCCAACTAAATTCTTTGAGTGGTCATTTGTGATGGCGAGGTCGCTTCTGAAAAAGTGCTACACAGCTCAGTAGGGGCCTTACCTCGTCAGATGGGAAACACATAGTGAAGATGTCATTGTTTTCATGTTGTCTATTGGTATTTAAAGTTATTGTTTACCTTGCCTATACTTTGCAACGCCCACCGTGTCTGTTGTAACGTTCTGAGCCCATGCCCCTACTGGGACATCTGTGACAACAAAAAGCTTCATAGCTCATCGGATTCCTCCTGCGGTCTATGAATACAGATCCTGAAGTTCACGTGTTCGCCGTGGTGGGGTCACGGTGGGGTCACGGTGGGGTCACGGTGGGGTCCAGGCGCAGCCCTGCAAGTGTCCGCTCGCTCGACTGGAGCCGAAAGAAGCCCCCCCCCCCCCCCACTACTCGTCTGTGCCGGGCTGGACTAAAAACTAAACTACTCGCTTTTATTTAACTCACTCTGTCTGTTGTATCCTCAAATCTTGTAACTCAATGTGCTATCGACTGCAAACTTTGTATACTTATGTCATACTGATGACAATACTATATTCTATCATTATTTTTTTTAAACAATCTTTTCTATATTTTATGTTTTGGCTTGGTTCTAATTGTCCACGCTCAACTGACGTTGGCTATAATTGGCCACGGTCCCCTTACGTCAGGGGTCGGGAATCTTTTTGACTGGGAGAGCCATAAAAGCCAATATTTCTAAATATATTTCATTGAGAGCCATATAGTATTTTTTACGTATAATAAATTAAATGTCTTACTTTTAATGCGACTTCTGGTCACGGGACCCGTGACCCGAGAAATTTTATCTTCAAAACTAATTTCTGTTTACTTTAAAATGACACAGTATTATTAAGCAATATCACAAGTATTTTAAAATCAGTTCCAAACTGATTTTATTTTAATTTTATTATTATTATTTTCAACTCAAAATTGCCTGAGAGCCATATGCCGTCACCAGAAGAGCCATATATGTCTCGCGAGCCATAGGTTCCCGACCGCTGCCTTACGTGATGGCAAGCTTCGGGGCCACTTGCTGGAGTCGTGGAGTTCTGCCATTACTCGTACGGTTCATTAAAGCGTGTTTTTCAATAAGTATTTTTAAAGGTTACTTATTTTTTACGTAACCAGGTACGGCCCACCACTGAGCTGTGTGGCTCTTTTTCAGAAGCAACCTGGCCATCACAGACGATAGCTCAACGAAGTAGCGGCTTTCACGTCGTCGTCATCATCATGCACGTGGCAATGTATAGCAGTAGCCAGATACGCGTGGCCTCGATTCTAAACGTGGAGGGGAGAGCCAGATAAAGATCCACGCGACCACGGGGAGAGGGAGAGACACGATATGGACTGTGAAAATATATTTTTGGGTTAGATTGCGAAAATATAAATGGGTCGTCAAACCCGCCACCACCCGACACAGCCAATGAGGGAGGTTTGTCACGTAAACAAAACGTGACAATGTATGCGTTGGAGAGTAAACCCGCGACCTCCTGTAAACCAGGCGAGGTAGTTAACATATCCTAACCACCGTGATGATAATGAGAGAAAGACGCAGACTCCAATCGTCACGGTCGGGGATCGAACCTACGACCTCCTGTAGACCAGGCGAGGTAGTCACCCCCACACGCTCCACCCCCACACGCTCCACCCCCACACGCTCCACCCCCACACGCTCCACCCCCACACGCTCCACCCCCACACGCTCCACCCCCACACGCTCCACCCCCACACGCTCCACCCCCACACGCTCCACCCCCACACGCTCCACCCCCACACGCTCCACCCCCCACGCGCCACCCCACACGCTCCACCCCACACGCTCCACCCCCACACGCTCCACCCCACACGCTCCACCCCACACGCGCCACCCCACACGCGCCACCCCACACGCGCCACCCTACCCACGGCGTAGAGAGTGGAGGAGAAACTGGTTTCTCCGGATCCAGAAACCGGTTCGCCTCGCCGAAGCTGGTTGCGCATTGGGGGCCAAATCCGACAGAGCCGCACACAGACAAAGGTGGCCCGTGTAGCCTGTGCAGGTTGCAGGGCAAGCGCAGCTGCCAAATCCACCGCGCGCCCGGCCGCCTTTGTCTCCCGTCGTGCCCACGTCTACGACCGCACCGGATCTGATTTATGGCCGAGTCAACCCAGGGGAGGGCCGAGTCAACCCAAGGGAGGGCCGGTTACCGGTTCAGACATTCGCCTTCACCGCTGGCTGTGGTGGCGAGCGGGAATCGAACCCGCGCTCTCTCCGCTCGTTCGCCGTAGTGCGCTAAGCGCTCCCCCACCGCTCCCCGCGCTCTTCTGCTCGGGATGAATCCTCTCTGGAGTGACTCCCGCAGCAGCCATGGCGGCAGCCTTTGGTGGCACATGTTGTTTGACGTTTATTGTGAAATTTCGGTCACAGTTCCTATGATCACTGTTACATTGCTTTTATGGTTTTATTTTGGTGATTTCGAAAAGTTGTTTTGGTTTGGCCATGTTTGTTTGTTGTAGTACGGAGTTAGAATGATGGCTTTAATCTAAGTTGTCTTGTGGTTGTTGTTGTTGTTTGACTTGCATCCCACTGGGATGTTTGCACAGCGTTGGTGTGCGGTGCTTTTTTTCTGGAAGACTTTGCAGTTTTTTCCTGGATTTTTCTTTTGCGCGTAGTCACTTTGAGATGTTATCTTGTTCATGTTTTTGTTTGTTGCGGTTGCACCCGATTCAAGAGCCGAATGGCTCACAGGGCTATACCTAATAAATACAACTGAAACTGGTTCTTTCGGTAAAGTCACGTAGGTATAAAATAAATTAACTCACGACGTTTCGACTGCAACACAAGCAATCATCAGGTGGGAAAACCACAGCAAGAACATTTGAAAAAAGATTGCTCGTGTTGCAATCGAAACGTCGTGAGAATTTTATTGTTTTATTGTTATTTTCTTATTTCTCTTCTACGTGACTTTACCGAAAGAACCAAGAATGTGAATCCCTGCAGTCACGAAAGCTTCAAATCGGAATAAATCTGTCACGCTCAGAGCCTCCATTCGACAACACGACAAAGAGGCCCTCCCTCAGTGCCGGAGCGGCAAGTGCCGTTGCGGCAAGTGCTGCTGGGGCAAGTGCTCATTTGAGGCCGAGTCGACCTAGGGGAGGCCCAGCACCGGTTCAGAGGATCGTCACCGTTGGTGGTGGTCGTGAGCGGGGTGCTAACCGCTGCGCCACCACTCCCCACCTCCACCTCTCACAGCCTGAAACTCACCCTGCAGTCACCCCCCACGTGTGACTACTCAGTCAGTCACCCCCGTGGGTGACTCACAGAGTCAGTCAGTCAACCCCCGTGAGTGACTCACAGAGGCAGTCAGTCACCCCCACAAGTCACCCCCCGTGTGAGGAGTGACCCACAGAGTCAGTCACCCCCCGTGGGTGACTCACAGAATCAGTCAGTCAACCCCCGTGAGTGACTCACAGAGTCAGTCATTCAACCCCCGTGAGTGACTCACAGAGGCAGTCAGTCACCCCCACAAGTCACCCCCCGTGTGAGGAGTGACCCACAGAGTCAGTCACCCCCCGTGGGTGACTCACAGAATCAGTCAGTCAACCCCCGTGAGTGACTCACAGAGTCAGTCATTCAACCCCCGTGAGTGACTCACAGAGGCAGTCAGTCACCCCCACAAGTCATCCCCCGTGTGAGGAGTGACCCACAGAGTCAGTCACCCCCCGTGGGTGACTCACAGAGTCAGTCAGTCAACCCCCGTGAGTGACTCACAGAGTCAGTCAGTCAACCCCCGTGAGTGACTCACAGAGGCAGTCAGTCACCCCCACAAGTCACCCCCCGTGTGAGGAGTGACCCACAGAGTCAGTCACCCCCCGTGGGTGACTCACAGAGTCAGTCAGTCAACCCCCGTGAGTGACTCACAGAGTCAGTCAGTCAACCCCCGTGAGTGACTCACAGAGGCAGTCAGTCACCCCCACAAGTCACCCCCCGTGTGAGGAGTGACCCACAGAGTCAGTCACCCCCCGTGGGTGACTCACAGAGGCAGTCAGTCAACCCCCCGTGAGTGACTCACAGAGTCAGTCAGTCAACCCCCGTGAGTGACTCACAGAGGCAGTCAGTCACCCCCACAAGTCACCCCCCGTGTGAGGAGTGACCCACAGAGTCAGTCACCCCCCGTGGGTGACTCACAGAATCAGTCAGTCAACCCCCGTGAGTGACTCACAGAGTCAGTCATTCAACCCCCGTGAGTGACTCACAGAGGCAGTCAGTCACCCCCACAAGTCACCCCCCGTGTGAGGAGTGACCCACAGAGTCAGTCACCCCCCGTGGGTGACTCACAGAGTCAGTCAGTCAACCCCCGTGAGTGACTCACAGAGTCAGTCAGTCAACCCCCGTGAGTGACTCACAGAGGCAGTCAGTCACCCGCACAAGTCACCCCCCGTGTGAGGAGTGACCCACAGAGTCAGTCACCCCCCGTGAGTGACTCACAGAACTCGGCTACGAAGGGCGAGTGGTCGTAGTTGTCCTCGCACCAGTCCAGGGTGGCAGTGGGGGGCCCCCAGTAGCCGAGAGGCGCCATGGGGAGCCGGGCTGGAGCTGCAGCAGCAGCAGCAGGAGTCGAACTCAGCTGGCCGCGTGGGATGAGAGCTCCCCACGCCCACTAGCCAGGTAGCCACGCCCACTAGCCAGGTAGCCACGCCCACTAGCCAGGTAGCCACGCCCACTAGAGGTGTAGCCACGCCCACTAGAGGTGTAGCCACGCCCACTAGAGGTGTAGCCACGCCCACTAGAGGTGTAGCCACGCCCACTAGAGGTGTAACCACGCCCACTAGAGATGTAACCACGCCCACTAGAGGTGTGACCACGCCCACTAGAGATGTAGCCACGCCCACTAGAGGTGTAGCCACGCCCACTAGAGGTGTAACCACGCCCACTAGAGGTGTAACCACGCCCACTAGAGATGTAACCACGCCCACTAGAGATGTAACCACGCCCACTAGAGGTGTAGCCACGCCCACTAGAGGTGTAACCACGCCCACTAGAGGTGTAACCACGCTCACTAGAGATGTAACCACGCCCACTAGAGGTGTAGCCACGCCCACTAGAGGTGTAACCACGCCCACTAGAGATGTAACCACGCCCACTAGAGATGTAGCCACGCCCACTAGAGGTGTAGCCACGCCCACTAGAGGTGTAACCACGCCCACTAGAGGTGTAATCACGCCCACTAGAGATGTAACCACGCCCACTAGAGGTGTAGCCACGCCCACTAGAGGTGTAGCCACGCCCACTAGAGATGTAGCCACGCCCACTAGAGGTGTAGCCATGCCCACTAGAGGTGTAACCACGCCCACTAGAGGTGTAGCCACGCCCACTAGAGGTGTAGCCACGCCCACTAGAGGTGTAACCACGCCCACCAGAGGTGTAGCCACGCCCACTAGAGGTGTAGCCACGCCCACTAGAGATGTAGCCACGCCCACTAGAGGTGTAACCACGCCCACTAGAGGTGTAGCCACGCCCATTAGAGGAGTAGCCACGCCCACTAGAGATGTAGCCACGCCCACTAGAGGTGTAGCCACGCCCACTAGAGGTGTAACCACGCCCGCTAGAGGTGTGGCCACGCCCACTAGAGGTGTAACCACGCCCACTAGAGATGTAGCCACGCCCACTATAGGTGTAGCCACGCCCATTAGAGGTGTAGCCACGCCCACTAGAGGTGTAACCACGCCCACTAGAGGTGTAGCCACGTCCACTAGAGATGTAGCCACGCCCACTAGAGGTGTAACCACGCCCACTAGAGGTGTAGCCACGCCCACTAGAGGTGTAACCACGCTCACTAGAGGTGTAACCACACCCACTAGAGGCGTAGCCACGCCCACTAGAGATGTAGCCACGCCCACTAGAGATGTAGCCACGCCCACTAGAGGTGTAACCACGCCCACTAGAGGTGTAACCACGCCCACTAGAGATGTAACCACGCCCACTAGAGGTGTAACCACGCCCACTAGAGGTGTAGCCACGCCCACTAGAGATGTAGCCACGCCCACTAGAGGTGTAGCCACGCCCACTAGAGATGTAGCCACGCCCACTAGAGGTGTAGCCACGCCCACTAGAGGTGTAACCACACCCACTAGAGGTGTAAACCACGCCCACTAGAGATGTAACCACGCCCACTAGAGGTGTAACCACGCCCACTAGAGATGTAACCACGCCCACTAGAGGTGTAACCACGCCCACTAGAGATGTAACCACGCCCACTAGAGGTGTAACCACGCCCACTAGAGGTGTAGCCACGCCCACTAGAGATGTAGCCACGCCCACTAGAGATGTAGCCACGCCCACTAGAGATGTAGCCACGCCCACTAGAGGTGTAACCACGCCCACTAGAGGTGTAACCACGCCCACTAGAGGTGTAACCACGCCCACTAGAGGTGTAAACCACGCCCACTAGAGGTGTAGCCACGCTCCTAGAGGTGTAGCCACGCCCACTAGAGGTGTAGCCACGCCCACTAGAGGTGTAGCCACGCCCACTAGAGGTGTACCCACGCCCACTAGAGGTGTAACCACGCCCACTAGAGGTGTAGCCACGCCCACTAGAGGTGTAGCCACGCCCACTGGAGGTGTAACCACGCCCATTAGAGGTGTAGCCACGCCCACTAGAGGTGTAGCCACGCCCACTAGAGATGTAACCACGCCCACTAGAGGTGTAACCACGCCCACTAGAGGTGTAGCCACGCCCACTAGAGGTGTAACCACGCCCACTAGAGGTGTAACCACGCCCACTAGAGGTGTAACCACGCCCACTAGAGGTGTAACCACGCCCACTAGAGATGTAACCACGCCCACTAGAGATGTAACCACGCCCACTAGAGGTGTAACCACGCCCACTAGAGGTGTAACCACGCCCACTAGAGGTGTAGCCACGCCCACTAGAGATGTAACCACGCCACTAGAGATGTAGCCACGCCCACTAGAGGTGTAGCCACGCCCACTAGAGGTGTAACCACGCCCACTAGAGATTAACCACGCCCATTAGAGGGTGTAACCACGCCCACTAGAGGTGTAGCCACGCCCACTAGAGGTGTAGCCACGCCCACTAGAGATGTAGCCACGCCCACTAGAGATGTAACCACGCCCGCTAGAGGTGTAACCACGCCCACTAGAGGTGTAGCCACGCCCACTAGAGGTGTAGCCACGCCCACTAGAGATGTAACCACGCCCACTAGAGATGTAGCCACGCCCACTAGAGGTGTAATTACGCCCACTAGAGGTGTAGCCACGCCCACTAGAGGTGTAGCCACGCCCACTAGAGATGTAACCACGCCCACTAGAGATGTAGCCACGCCCACTAGAGGTGTAGCCACGCCCACTAGAGGTGTAGCCACGCCCACTAGAGATGTAACCACGCCCACTTGAGATGTAGCCACGCCCACTAGAGATGTAGCCACGCCCACTAGAGATGTAACCACGCCCACTAGAGGTGTAGCCACGCCCACTAGAGATGTAGCCACGCCCACTAGAGGTGTAGCCACGCCACTAGAGGTGTGCCACGCCCACTAGAGATGTAGCCACGCCCACTAGAGATGTAGCCACGCCCACTAGAGGTGTAGCCACGCCCACTAGAGGTGTAGCCACGCCCACTAGAGGTGTAGCCACGCCCACTAGAGATGTAGCCACGCCCACTAGAGGTGTAGCCACGCCCACTAGAGATGTAACCACGCCCACTAAAGGTGTAGCCACGCCCACTAGAGGTGTAGCCACGCCCACTAGAGGTGTAGCCACGCCCACTAGAGGTGTAGCCACGCCCACTAGAGATGTAGCCACGCCCACTAGAGATGTAACCACGCCCACTAGAGGTGTAGCCACGCCCACCAGAGGTGTAGCCACGCCCACTAGAGGTGTAACCACGCCCACTAGAGATGTAGCCACGCCCACTAGAGGTGTAGCCACGCCCACTAGAGATGTAACCACGCCCACTAGAGATGTAGCCACGCCCACTAGAGGTGTAGCCACGCCCACTAGAGGTGTAGCCACGCCCACTAGAGGTGTAACCACGCCACTAGATATGTAGCCACGCCACTAGAGTGTAGCCACGCCCTAGAGGTGTAGCCACGCCCACTAGAGATGAACCACGCCCGCTAGAGGTGTAGCCACGCCCACTAGAGTGTAGCCACGTCCACTAGAGGTGTAGCCACGCCCCTAGAGATGTAGCCACGCCCACTAGAGGTGTAGCCACGCCCACTAACATGTAACCACGCCCACTAGAGGTGTAGCCACGCCCACTAGAGGTGTAGCCATGCCCACTAGAGGTGTAACCACGCCCACTAGAGGTGTAACCACGCCCACTAGAGGTGTAACCACGCCCACTAGAGGTGTAGCCACGCCCACTAGAGATGTAGCCACGCCCACTAGATGTGTAGCCACGCCCACTAGAGGTGTAACCACGCCCACTAAAGATGTAACCACGCCCACTAGAGGTGTAGCCACGCCCACTAGAGATGTAACCACGCCCACTAGAGGTGTAGCCACGCCCACTAGAGGTGTAACCACGCCCACTAGAGATGTAGCCACGCCCACTAGAGGTGTAACCACGCCCACTAGAGATGTAACCACGCCCACTAGAGGTGTAACCACGCCCACTAGAGGTGTAACCACGCCCACTAGAGATGTAACCACGCCCACTAGAGGTGTAACCACGCCCACTAGAGATGTAACCACGCCCACTAGAGATGCAGCCACGCCCACTAGAGGTGTAACCACGCCCACTAGAGATGTAACTACAGTTATTTTGCTGTGAAGGAAGCTTGTGTCGCCTCCGAAACGTCGTGATTTAATTGATTTATTTTCATTTATTTTTTTTACTTACGTGACTTTACTGAAAAAACCTAAGAGTATAAATCCTTGCAGTCACGAAAGCTTCAAATCTAGGTTATTAAGAAGTCAATTTAATTAAGTAGAACGTGTTGTCTATATTTATTTAAAGTTGCGCATTTTGATGTGACGTCACATTTCTCAACCCCTCGTCACACATCGTCACACATGTCTGACCCCCCCCCCCAGGTGCGTGACGTCATTTATGGACGGCCCCAAAGGGGATCTGCGCGGTTTATTTGTGGCAAGTGCATCGTTGTGTGCAAGAAGGAGCGATGATGCCCGATCCACAAACGCGACGTCGCGACTGCTGCTCGCGTGGCTAGTCCCCGTGTCTGGACCGCCTCAAAGTGAACTTGGAGTCGTTCTTTGGAGAGGCCGAAACCGAATATCGTTCGGCCTCTAGTTCTCGAGTCGGTTTAAGACACACAGGCTCACCAGGCGACAGCAACACATCTGACTGTCGCCTGGTGAAGCTCGTTGTGATGACTGGGGAAGTGTCGTGCTTAAGAGTGTAAATGTTGTGGCTTGGCTCTCCAATACACCGGTGTGCTGCACTAGTGACGAATTCACGATGTACTTACAAAAAAATCCGCAGACTACCTGCTGGATCACTTCTCTGTTTCGAACCAATGTGACCTCAGGTCTTCGCTCATTTACCAGCTTCACATTCCCTATTGCCGTACAAATACTGGAGGAAGGTATTTTGTTGTCGATGCCCCCAGGGTCTGGAATGCTATCGCCAATCAA